CTGTGAAAGCGCGGTCCTTTCCGGAGGAGACGACCTGTAATAATATGCTTCTTTTGTATTTTGTAACTATTTTGGCAAGTGATAATAATTGGTGATGTAGCCGAAGATGTTAAAATGCATTAAAGTTAAGTAAAGCTTAACAAAAGACTATTCGCTCTTGCCTTGAAGTCACCGACATTGTAATCGGATGTAAAGGCAAAAATGCTGGCAAATTATTCCAGTCCATCGCAGTACGCATTACGAACGATTACTCAAATCGTTTCTTACGTATGCGTCTGCAATAAGAGGATGGTGTTGTATACGTAGGTAACTCAATAAGTTTTGAGATGCTCGAAATTTAAAAATGGAACTGGGTGCGTTCCATTTTTAAATTTCTTTAAATTAACCTAATAGAACTTTGTTTTTTTTTTAATATTGAGCAGTTGGCTTATGTAGTTCTATTTTTAAATAAATTTGCTTTTTAGAAACATATAAAACGGATAAGTTCCATCTCAAAACTTATTGAGTGACCTACGTAGAATACCGCTACCGTTACAGCTACAGACTAAAGTCCACTGCTGAACATATGCCTCCCCCATAGATTGCCCTATAGAGAGGATATTTTCCTTAGTTACCACTCTTGACAAGCGGATTGGCAACCATAGTTTTCTTTAGTTATTATTATTAGGTAAACGCTACTGCCCCCTTTTAACCTCCTTCGAGAACCATGGATGTTATGGGTTAGTAGACATTCTTACACAGCCGCTACGCTATAAATACAATATAATGTAAAATAATTTGTTAAATACGGCGAACCCTCCGTTTACTCTAAACGTTAAGTACCAAGACCGGCGATATACAACAGTCTCATAGGTGCCAGATGTTTGATACTGCAATCGTCATTTAGCTTGTCAAGTATGATAATTAAGATGAGACTGAACAAGCTGCAGATCAGAATAGTAACAAGTGCTATCACAGGACACGGCAACTTTAAAAAACATTTATTTACCATAGGTGTTACGGACAATCCCCCTGTTCAGGGTATGTGTGAGGGAGGAAGAAACGGCGGCCCACGTGTTGCTGACGTGTCCGGAAGTCACTGTATATAGGGCTAAACATCTCGGCACGCCGGGATCACTCCCCGAAGTTGCTTGCAACATCAAAGGACTTTCGAACTTCTTCGGGGATATTTCACTGCTCGAATAAATACATTATTCCTTCCCACAAGCAAAATACGCGCTTAGACGTGGAGTTGCCGAAAGCAGCCCGTTTATTCAATTCAATTCAAAATGATAGTTAAGGTAAATCCTATCTTAATCTAATTAAGTTCTCATTCGATTCTGAAACGTTTTTCTCAAAATGTCAACTTAAGCTGTACTGGCTGCTGACGGACGAAGCTTTGGCAATTGATTTAATCGCAGAATGTTGATTTACATCATCATGGGTACGAGTATTGGCTTTACACTAACCAAAACGACTGTCCAATGAAATGAGTAAGGGAATATTATCCCTTAAATTCTTGCCTGCTTTTATATTCCTGAAAAGATCTGGATGTATACTTACTACAATGACTCTAAAAGTGATTTAATGTGACTTGTGACATGGAATAGTTTTGCAAAGAAGCCCCGTTTGCTTAAAACTGTAGCCTACAATAGTAAGAATAAAGGATCACAAAGCTAGTATACTGTTGTATGTGAACTATTTAAAACACATTGGAAAGCAAATATCAAGTTAACTTGTTGGTAACCGAGCTTCTACCAAAATGTAAATACTTATTGGTATTAACTCGGTATTTCATTTCACTAAGTGTATAATATTCAATCGTCTATTGAATATCTATCGTCTATAAAAACTGAAGTGTGTTAAACTAATTAAATAATTTCCTCATCAGCTGAGAAAGACTTAATATATGAAGAATTGCTCGTGACACAGGTCGCTATAAATTATTTCTAATTTTCCCATAATCGCACACTAATAGTCGCCTACTCATCCACCGTGTGTGGACCACCACAAAGTAAAAGTGTGTTGACAATGTAAATTCTATAAAAATTTAATTTTTATATATAGAGATAGATCACAAGAAATATTCTTGAAAGTCAATTATGCTTTAACACTAATCCGTTACGTCTGTCCTGACGAGACTTTTATTTAAATTTAATTATTTAGTTTTTAAAAATATTTCGGCTTTTATAGAAAAGTGAAACAATTTATTCAGAACCCGCTAAGATTGCTTTCCGTCTATCTAATCTATAATATAAAAATGAATCGCTGAATGTGTTGCTAAGCGCAAATCTCGAGAGCAGCTGAACCGATTTCGCTAATTCTTTTTTTATAATATTCCTTGAAGTACGAAGATGGTACTTACGGAGAGAAAAATTTAAAAAATTGCCTGAATAAGTCTAAAAATAACACTTTTCTATATTCCCATACAAAATATTCGTAATAATACTTAAATACTGTAAAAGTACATTCGAATACTGTAAAAGTACTTGCGTGCATACGAGCCAAAATAATGTAAATATGAAGAGAGGCGGTGGTGTTAGTTATTTTGATAGTGGTCCCATGGAAATTTCAACTTACTTTGACGAATGCGCGTCTCACTCGCGTAAGGAGGGTAATTCATCTTACCACTCAAACAACCGCTCGCCCGCGAGTGTAGCGAGTGTGAGCGAGGAATTGCAAACGGCGCCTGAGCAAACATCCGAGCGCGTGAATGAGTCAAAAATCGATCATGAGATGGTACGTGTGGGTTCTGAGGAAGAGCAACAGGGCCGAATAGCGATGATTAGATCGCCTGATCATCGTTACGGTAATAATATTATCAATCAGGCTGAAACTGATATTAAAAATGGAAAAATTGCGTCTTTCTCGGAGATAGTAAGGAAAGATGGCGAATGGAAAGAGCCTGAAAAAAACGAGGGGTGGGTTTTGTACCAAAAACGTAGGCTTAGAAACCGCTTTAGTAGTCAAAGAGGCTGTGCCATTGAGTCTGAGTCAACTAGTCAAAAGTTTAGGGCAGCGGATATAAAGGTGCCTCTGTTTATCTCGAATGTTGCCAAGGAGGTATCAGGGCAGGATATTATTGATTATGTGTATAACAAAACGCATGAAAAGGTTTCACTGGTGAAAATAAATATGAGACGGCATAAAGGGTATGATGCCTATAAGGTCTTGGTATCTAAGCATAAAATTGAGACATTCCTAGATGATAAACTGTGGCCATCAGGCATAACGTTTCGTCGTTTTGTGAATTTTTACGATAAACAAAAAGGTAATATCAATAATAAGGAACAAAATATACAGGATAGTTGAACATACTGAATAATAAATACGTGCTACATATACTACATACATTTTGAAACAAATAAATAATTTAGATAATAAATTAATATATTGAATATACTAAACACATTTCAATAAAAATACCAAATAAATAAATAATTAATTAATATAGATAAAAATTAATACATATATGGATAATCTTAGTAACATTATAAGTTTCAACTGTAAATCTATCAAGAGGTCAGCGGAAGGTGTAAGAGAGTTGTGCCAGTCAGCCGACGTGTTGTGCCTCCAGGAAACGTGGATTCTTCCACATGACTTATCATTTCTCAGCACGATCAGTGAAGAATTTGGGTCCACAGGCACATCTGCGGTGGACACGGAGGGAGGCCTAGTGAGTGGGAGGCCTTATGGTGGAGTTGCAATATTGTGGCGTAAAAATGTGTTTGAATCAGTGTCAGTGATAGAGTGTGACAACGTGCGAATCTGTGCCATAAAAGTAACTGTGAGTAGTAGATCTGTAGTTATATTTAGTGTATATATGCCCACAAACTCTTATAAAAACTTACCTGAGTTCTGTACGTGTCTCGGTTCGATCCGATCGCTAATAGAAATAGAGGAAAATAAGGGAATTGAAGCTTTTTATATACTAGGGGACTTTAATGCTCATCCTAGGGAATTATTTTATAATGAAATGATAGATTTTTGTAATGAAGAGAGCTGGATTTGTGTGGATGCAAGTATGTGTTATTAAATACATTTACTTTTCATAGTGAGGCTCATGGTTGTAACAGGTGGCTGGACCACTGCATAGTCACTCATTCTGCGCGTGAAATAGTAGTAAGCGTGTCTGTTAATTATGACGTATTTTGGTCAGACCACTACCCACTTGTGGTGGAATGTAATTTAAATAAACTTAAGCCTAAGGTTGTGGAGCAGGTAAGGAGGAAACCTGTGAACCGTGTTACTTGGGGCAACAGGACTCCACAACAGATAAAACTGTATCACGATTTTTGTCACACAAACTTGAGAGTTATAGATCTTCCAGAGGAACTCAGAGACTGTTGTGATACATTTTGTAGTAACAACGCACATCACGCTGTACTTTATAATATGTACGGTAATATTATAAATATACTATCACTGGCAGCAATTCGTACATATAGGGATACATGTAGAAAAAAGGGAGGTTACGTGACGGGGTGGAATAAGCACGTCGTGGGCCCACATCGGGAGGCGCGGCTTAAATTTCAAGAGTGGATGATGGCTGGGCAGCCGTCCAGGGGTCGCGTATTTGAAGAGATGTCAGAATCTAGAAAGCATTTTAAAGCCAAATTAAAATGGTGTCAAAACAGACAAGAACAGCTAAAGATGGATATTATTGCGACAAATCACTCTTCTAAAGACTTTAAAAGCTTTTGGAAGAACACAAACAAAATGCATGTTAAGCCAAGTCTTCCAGTGAGTGTTGGGGGTGCTTATGATCACAAGGATATTGCGGATACATTCAGATGCAATTTTACTGTAAGGTCACCCTTAAATGTCGTTTCAGGTTTGAATTTGAGCGAGGCTGAGACTATCATGACAGAACGAAATGAAAAGATACCTGCAAAAAAAAAATAGAAAAAATAATTAAAGAGATGGTAAGAGGAAAATCGCCTCGCTATGATGGTCTCAGCATCGAACACTTCAGATATGCTGGGGTGTATCTTCCGCGAGTCCTTTCACTGTTTTACAGCCTGTGTTTGGGTCACTCTTACTTACCCGAGCCACTGATGAGGACTATTGTAGTACCCATTGTTAAAAATAAAACTGGGGACACATCCGACATGGGTAATTACCGACCTATCTCGCTTGCAACCACTGCAGCCAAGGTGTTTGATAGTCTGTTAAATGAGTATCTCAACAAATACGTATTAATAAACGATGCACAATTTGGGTTTAAGCCGAATTTATCGACGGAGAGTGCCATTTACTGTCTGAAACACACTGTCAAATACTACACTAGACTATAGAAACACAATAGACTATAGAAGGAGAGAGTAGCAGCTTTCCTTCCCGGCCACCGCGGGAGACGCCCCGGGCGTCGGGGGCTGCGTCGTGGCCCCCGGCCACCGTAGGCGCGAGCCTGTGGACGGCGAGCAATGGGTAGCTTGCCGTCCGTCCGTCTAACGACGACAGGCCGTGTCGACGGCGCGTTTTGTTCCACGCGCGCCTCAAAGAGCTGTCAGCAGCGTGAAGGGGCCCGCAAGGGCCGACGCCTGCCGGGGCTGCGGGCTGTTCGAAAGAGATACCGCGGCTCCGGAACGTAAGGGCACTGAAGGAACACGGATGGTTTTTAGTCAGTAAAAGTCTGACACTCCTGTTACGGCCTACGGCTACTCCCTTAAAGGATCCAATCCTCAGGGGCCCATGAGCTGAAGACTTCCCGAACAGACGTAGGTCGGGCCTCAATGTGGCCACGTGGAATCTCTCGAATTACACTAAAATATATGGGGGAGCGTTCTATACTACGGCCAGTCAACCGGCAGAGGAATTAGGCGAAGCTTACTTACCTATATCCAAGGCGACTGGTCCCTCAGGAGTCGGTCAGGTCACATGTGGTTGTGTAGTGAAAGGGAAATAAGTGATGTGATGTGTATCTGGGTGTGACTGATGGTGATTGAACCTAGACCTTGGCCGTCGGTAGCAGCCCGAGCGTCGACACCGCTCCAACTTGAGGGGGCCCTCCGAGGCGTCCACAGTCACTTTCCTCTTTCTTCACCATGACAGTCAATTAACTCTATCGTACGATTTACTAACTTACAGAAGCCACTAACTATCGCTGGTTATAAGGTTAACACACAAAACGCACACGGAGTTTACAGTTTATTAAAGGTCACTACCGTTTCGCGTTGCAACAGTTATTTCTAGAATATCAGAGGCCGCACTAGCTAATATTGTCGAATGCACTTATACAGATTCTGAGTCGGTCCCGGGAATCTCTCCAGCAGGAATGCGCGTCACAAATCCTAGACCGTATATTTACGGGCCGCACCTAATTATTCCGAGTTCCCTAACAGAATGGACCGCGTGCTCACGTCAGCACCGATTAAAGACGACAGGCAGCCCTTGTGCGCTTTTCGCACGACGGAATGTCAAACCGGTATGAATGCACCGCGCCGAGCGCCCTCTAGCGTCAATCCTTGAAAGTGTTTGGCGCGAACAACTCCCTTCCGCCCCACCCAGAGCGAAAGGCGTCATTTGATGATTTTCCATCCGCAAAAAAAAAAAGGCGGACGCCGGTGTACGCGTGTTTCCTCGACTTATCGAAAGCTTTTGACCTGGTCTCATACGACATCCTGTGGGGCAAGTTGAGGGACGCGGGTGTGCCGGCGGAGTACACGGCTCTACTAAGATACTGGTATGCTAACCAGCGTAACCAGGTAAGGTGGGTTGGAGCTCTGTCGGAAGAATACAGGCTGGAATGCGGTGTAAGGCAGGGTGGCTTAAGCTCTCCACTCTTGTTCAACCTGTATGTAAACCAACTGATTGAACGACTTAGCAGCACACATGTTGGCTGCCACATCGATGACATATGTGTCAACAACATAAGCTATGCTGACGACATGGTGCTGCTCAGTCCTTCTATAGCAGGTCTGAGGAAACTGCTTTTTATCTGCGAGACATATGCGGAGGAGCAGGGCCTTAAATACAACTCAAAAAAGAGTGAAATATTAGTATTTAAGGCACCGAAACGGAAGCCACGACATGTGCCACCCGTATGTCTCGATGGTTTACCTCTGAAAGTCGTACAGAAGTTCAAATATCTCGGTCATATTGTTACGAGCGACCTAGGAGATGATGAGGACATTGAGCGAGAGCGCAGAGCGTTGTCGGTAAGGGGCAATATGCTTGCCCGCAGATTCGCCCGGTGCACTGCAGACGTGAAAGTAACTTTATTTAAAGCGTTCTGTCAGTCTTTCTATACCGGTGGTCTGTGGGTGACTTATACACGCCGGACCTACAGCGCCCTGCGTATTCAATATAACAACGCTTTTAGAATGCTGTTGAGGCTGCCGTGGCGCTGTAGTGCCTCTAAAATGTTCGCAGACGCACACACTAATGACTTTTTCGCCATAATGCGTAGAAAAGCAGCGTCTCTCCTGCAGCGCTTACGTACCAGCAACAACGGCATCCTAAGGGTAATTGCTGCCAGGCCCGACTGCCCCATACTGCACCACTGTATGACGGTAGCTATTGGGCGAAAAAAATAATTTGTACATAATTCACATTAACTAACAATACTAACTTACAAGTTAAGAAAAAATTGTTACTAACATACTAACAATCTATGGATGTTCCTTACGTCTGAAATAAATACTTATTATTATTATTATTATAAAAGGCAATTTGAACTTTAATACCATACCATAAAGTTTAAGTGTTAGTGGAGGGGTTCCGGAAAGGCAAAAAAATGGAGTGATGTTAGTATTCTATAAATATTAATGTCAATATTTGTCAATATTTATACACACTGGCAGATAGCTGATGTTATAAGAAGTAACTTGGGCTGCTTTTATTTTATGGTTCCGCGAAAAATAACTCCACGTGGGCGAAGTCGCGGGGAACAGCTAGTTTTAAACGAAAACCGATGATTTCACTGTACCCCAGTTCCTTGTGGCATATATTAATCTGAGATATATTTTAAAATAAAAACGTTTTCCTAATATATTTGAGTTTATGACAACTTTTGAAATATGTGAGTCTGGCCAAATCACAAGAGGCCATAAACGCAGCACATTAGTATTAAAAAAATAGGTACAAAGTTCAAAATCGAAAAAGTCCTTTTTATTTTGATTTCACAATTCAGAAGTGTCCGTTACTATCTAATGAATGTTGTCTAATGCATAATTAAGAATAAGAATTTTGGTAATTGTTAAATATATGTTGGTTCTTAGGCGAGTTTTAGCAATGTCTTTTGAAGTTAGCAATTCCTTGTTTAGTATCTTCTTCTTCCTCTGCACGAATCAGTAAAAAAGTCCGTTATTACCAAACTATTATTAAGTTTATCTGACAAAAATTTCTTAGCCCGGAGTCACAAAGTTGGTTGTGTGTTATATAAAGCACGTAAAGCCTTTGGATTGATCGTTTTGTGCTTGATTTCGTGATGAGGAATACACATGAATACAGAGTGCATCTGTGTTTGTGCACACACTCGTGCACTATAATACTTTCCTGCATAGATAACTAGTATCAGTCGGGATTGGCTACCGTGACCGAATTTGGTCCACGTACCCGAAGGGTAACCGACGGGATCATATTACTGTCCGTCCGTCTATCTGTCAGCGGGCTGCATCTCATGATCCGTAATAGGTAGACAGTTGAATTTTTACAGAATGTGTGTTTCTGTTGCCGCTATAACAACAAATAATAGAAATAAAAATAAATTAAAAATTAAAGGGGGCTCCCCTACTAGAAACGTGTACAGTTTAATACAGTACATAGTATTACATCTTGTACGATGGTACGGAACACTACACGCGCGAGTCCGACCCGCACTTGGCCTTTTCTTTTAGAATAATCTTATTCCATATTATTTAAACTTGCTTCTAATGTTCCTTTAAATTGAATGGAGCGCAATCGATAAAAGAGAATCTATGAGGCCGTCACAATACATGAAAAGCTTTGTTGTAGAAAATAGCGTTTTATTAAATATCACAATTTAAAAATCGTCCTTAAATATTACGTTATGTATTTGCTATTATATATCCAATATGTAATCAGGTTATTTGATCGATTTTGGCAATAATGCTTCGTTAATGTCGTATAATACGTTTTATTTCCACAAGCGTAAAAGCGCAGACCAAAGAGAATATTAAAATCACTACGTTTTAGCCTCAGGTCATGCAAACACAGAGGCACTCAGTCGCTCTATGCATATCCGATAGTAGAAGATTTATATGTGGATTATCTGTGGTAGACGACATGAAGCGTATTTGAGCGTATTGGACAAGATCGAACGATGCTATCATTTAACGTGCTCTGTGAACATGATGTCCAATTTAAAGTATCACGAACAAGAAAATAACCGCCGGGTGGTGAACATTTGCTATTATGTCAATATCTTTTAATGAAAAATGTTCTGGTTTAATTTAGAAAACCATTTGAAAAATCCGCCCGAGACGATGCTCGACTTATTTTCTAAATTTTATTTAAATCTACTTAGTGAGTAATATTCAATCTTATTTCTCGTGTGTATCAACACATCTAGAGTTGTATCTTAAAATGGAAAAGGGATAAGATGTCATTGAGAGTAAATTCAATGTCTGATAAGTGTGATTTATAACCATTTTCAACATAACTTTTTATAAGTATACTGTTTTTATTCGGTTGGGTTTTGTATACGGTCTACATCAAATTATATTAAAACATTTATGAGAAAATTCATAACCGTTACGGAAAATTCTAGAAATTATCCTCGATTAAATATCAAAATGCAGATGCGTCATAACCCCTAAGGACTAAGATGAAATGCTTCGTTCCCAGTAAGAAGGGTTCTCTACTCTCACCATACGAATCACGGCAGCATTAAGCTGCTATTTTACCCTGGTATTCTATTAGAGCGTGGTCATACCCTGATCGAGCCGACCCGTTCGTGCTACGACCGTAATATAACGGCAGAGTGTAAATTCAGTGACTAAACTAGGTACCAAGAAACATATTAAAAAAAAGTTAGATAGCATTAAAATCTAAAAGTACATGTGTTACAGTTTAACAAATGGGTCCTAGCTCAGTGAATAATATTGCTCAGAGAGCCATAACTGAATTTCAGCTGTAACCTTCGAGATGACGAGGCAAAAATGAGCATAATAGAATCCCTAAGCACAATGAATGATGTATCCCTTCAGCCCTGCGACTTGCATCTCGGGTTCAATTTAGTAAAATCACTGGGATTACTGCGATTTCACGCACTGAACCATTTTTATAACAATGTAGTCCCATTTTATATAGATTGACTTAAATTGTTTGACAAAAGATTTCGTGTTTTTCAAAGCTTTCACTTTATATTTAAAATCCTTTGAAAGGTAGGAACGAAATTGCTAATGTAATCCCTAAACACGCACACCGAATTTAAAATAACATGGGACTAGACCCTGTGGCTTTTCCCTCATTCGTCACCGTTTTGAAAGAGGTGAGCTCCTGCCAAAGTTTTTAAATGTATCCTTGTTCATGACCTCAAATAACCGTTTTAATGAAATATAAATAAAAGATTAATTATTTTTTTATAAATTGTTACTCAAAATGGAAATTCTCTTTTAGAAATTAGAAGAGTTGTCCTCTTAAAGTCCTTCTAACCTCTAAGAGGTTAACAGTGAAACGCGTATATTGTTCTTTGTTACTTTTTTATTAATAGATTCTGTGACCAATAGAAATCCACATCTATCCTCGATTAAGAATCAAAATCAGATGCGTTGTCGTCCCTGAGGACTAAGATGGAATGCATGGTATCCAGTAAAAAAGGGACTCCGGTTATCTACAATCTCCATACGAAATACAGTAGCCTAAAGCTGCTATTTTACGATGGTATTCTGTGAGAGCGTGGTTCTTCCCCGGTCGTGCCAACCCATTCGTGCTGCAACTATACCACTAATATAGCTGCAGCATGGCTCTACCACTACAATATGGTGAGTGTAGAGAACTAGACATTCCATCTTTTGTTTTCTATTGGAATAGCGACGAAGAAAAATTTGAATCGCTTAAAGCGTGATTCTGAAAACAATAACGAAGTAGAAGTTTTCGAAAATTAGCGGCAGCTCCTTCTACTGTCCGCATACAGCGCAGAGCGGTTCGAATCGTCGGCGACCGAGCTCTTTTTGATCGGCTTGACTCACAGGCACTGAGAAGAGATGTTGCATCTCTTTGCGTATTTTATCACATCTATCACGGTGATTGCTCTGAGATAACGCATCTGAACCTTCATTCTTAATTGAGGACAGATGTAGATGTCTGTGGGCCACAGCAATCACTTACCATCAGTTGGACTGTGAGCTAGTTTGTAAATCTTATCCTATAAAAATAGCTAAATATAGCTTTATTTTTATTGGATGAAACTTCACTTGTTATCTCAAGAACTTTATCGCTATATCAAATTTAACCGTGGGCTGTAAATAATTACGTATTTACGTAATACAACGTATTTTAAACGTGGTAGAGCCATGCTGCAGCTATATTACTGGTATAGTTGTAGCACGAATGAGTCGGCTCGACCGGGGAAGGACCACGCATTCAAACAATACCAGCGTAAAATAGCAGCTGAACGCTGGTGTTTCGTATGGTGAGTGTAGAGAACTGTAGACCCGTTTTACTGGAAATGAGCCATTCCATCTCAGTACTCGCGGGTATATATATATAACTGCATTTTGATTCTTAATCGAGGATAGATCAAGATGTCTGTCAGATCTGGTGAACTGTGTACTCGTGTCACCCTTATCCGATAAAAAAATATTCACAAATTACATTTGAGTAAACATTTGCTTTCTTTTTAGAAAGTACAGATTTACTTAAATGTAATTACTCAAATGTAATTAATAAATTATCTGACACCGCAATTTTCTCGATTCAAGAATTCGAAACGTTCCAGCACGTGTATACTTAGCGCCTGTGGCTCTATTGTATGTGAAATTTAATTAAATTACATTTTCAATTCGGTAAGTCAATTTGTTCAACTTCCAGCTTTATCTAATCTTGTAAAGTAGAATTATTAACAATTATTTGTTTCCACCGGCCCAGAAGTAAAAAAGAAGAGTATTTCGAATGTGTATGTATGTACTTGTCTATGTCTATGTCTATGGATGATCTGGGGGCACGGCTGTACCATCATTTTCTGGAAGCAGTTCAGGCCATTTTAGTAACCCTAGAACTTCGTTGTGGATAAAACTAGAAGCCTGAATTTCAGTAGCCAAGTAGGCATTGTATAAACTCGGTATATTTTAAATTTAATTAAATTTGAAGCAATTGTTTAAGAATTATAACTAGTCAAAGTTTCTTAATTTTGTCACTCACTGACTGACTGATTATTAAAACTCTAAGGCACTTCTAGCAGACATAGAAGCTTCAAATTTGGAATACAATTATTGTTTAGTAATATAAAATTTCCAGTAAAAAGGGTCTCAAGTTCTCTACACTCACCATACGAAACACAGCAGTATTAAACTACTATTTTACGTTGGTGTTCTGTGAGAGCGCGGTCGTTTTTTTGAGACTGGCTAAAAAT